ATGAAGTGCAAGATTTGATCGACAATGAGGTCATCCTCCCACCCACCTCAGCAAAGTCTGTTACCACTGAGCCGTTGGACTTCGAGGATACTGCAAGTATGTGATCAGGGGTTGGACCACCTACGGGTGGCGCTCGGTGTATTTTAGATGTCGCGTTTGGCACGCACTGTTGGGAGCATTTGCGAATGCAGTTTTGTAATTTCTGGCTTGGGTTTTGAGTCAGTTCTTTGTTTTGTTTTGAATCTGTCTCATTGTCTTGGGTCAGTCTTTTTGCTTAAGGGTTTGTCTTGTTGTATCGGGCCAATCCCATTGTATAGAAGTTAGGTGATTCCGGGGTTGTTGCCTCGAACACCGTTTTGTTTTGTAATTATCTTTTTGCTTTCTTTTTGAGTCTGTCTCTGTTGTGGAGCCAGTTGCAACTAGGGAAATCTGAATGAAATGGCTGCGGCTATCATGTTTTCTGTGTTTATTACTACCTTGAGCTAGTTGTGCCAGAGGATTTGAATGAAACGGGGGAGCATCTCACTAACTCTTCTGCACCCCAAACTCATTGCATTGACCTAAGTTTTTCAAAACTTTTTGAACACCGCGGTGATGAAAACAAAGAGGAAGGAATTCCTCGAGTTTTCCAAAACTTTGATCAGACTGAGAGAAAGAGAGGCATGCTAAGCCCTTAATGATTGAAATCATGTTTGTTAACGTGAGTACTGAGAAGGACCCTAGCTTGATCCAGATTGGTTCTGCACTATCTTCAACGCGAGCGATTTGTCATTTTCTTAAAAACTTTCAAAAGCAAAATGTTTTGTGCAGTCCTGCGAAGACCTGTGTGGAATCGCTCTTGAGATTGTGTAGCTTAGGATCTCTCTCAGCCTCGAGACTTGTGCCCTTGCTTTCAAACCTTGGACCTTGGGTTCAGATTGTTCAACGATCAACCGTAATGCAAGGCCTATCTGGCCGGATTTGAAGCAGCCCTCGAACAAAAGGCACCAAAGTCAGATCAAGAAGATAAAACCTCATCAGAAGAAGCTTATGAAGCTAGAACAGAAGGACCCCCCGAACTAGGGGGAAAAATGTCCGATGTGCTCGAAGAGTCGAAGATGGATCTTTCTGTAAATCAATACGACAGCCACTCTCCTGAATACGGATGGCTTCAAAACCCTAAAACCATTTGGCATGAACTTGTTACACTTTTACCCTTTTAGAGGCTCGTTGGGCCAAAAACCCGGAAGGGTGACCCAGGCAAAAGTTAGAGCAAGAGAAAAATACGAAAAAGAAGGAAAGAAGGAAAAGAAAAGAGAAGAGAAAAGAAAAAAAAAAGAAAAACGAATGAAAAGATACAAAAAAAGAGAAGAATTGAAAAGAAAAAGAAAAACAAAGCTCGCAAGGTTGAAAACCCAGAAGGGCGGCCTTGGCAAAAGTTAGAGCGTAGAAGGTGAGGGTCAATACACGAGTGAACCCAAACCGAAACTATGTAAGGCTTGATTCCCATGTTTGGGATACGTAGGCAACTTCATCTTGAAGTCTAGCCCCACGAACTTTCAAAGTGACTATGTCCATATATTGGTTTTGACCATCTTCGTCTTCTCTCTATCCGAGAGTTCAGTTGCGATCATCACTAATGAAGACTAACTACAGTACGCTGCGGCGTTATCCAGACAAGGGGCAACTTTTCGTTGCCATGATTCGCCGTCCAAACCAGGGGCAACTTCCCGTTGCCGTGCTGTGCCCTCTGAGACAAGGGGCAATTTTCCACTGCCTCCGATCTGAGGTTGTGCATCTCGAGAGTAGGTTCCGTGCTCGTTGAGCAGTTGCCCTTTGCAAAAAATGGTTTTTAAGAATTTTTACTGAGGTTGATTAATTTTCGCAAAAATTATTCCATCTTTTCCAAAACTGGACCATTTTCTTGGACCCAAAAAAAGGAAAATTTTCAGTACTCATAGCCTAACTTGCATGATTTTAAATCAAAAATCGAACAAACATGTTAATCTAACTCTCATTTCGGTCAAAATTGTTTTAATAGAAAACCAAAACAAGGGGCAATTTTCCATTGCCTCCGATCCGAGGTTGTGCATCTCGAGAGTAGGTTTCGTGCTCGTTGAGCAGTTGCCCTTTGCAAAAAATGGTTTTTGAGAATTTTTACTGAGGTTGATTAATTTTCGCAAAAATTATTCCATCTTTTCCAAAACTGGAACATTTTCTTGGACCCAAAAAAGGAAAATTTTTAGTGCTCATAGCCTGACTTGCATGATTTTAAATCAAAAATCGAACAAACATGCTAATCTAACTCTCATTTCGGTCAAAATTGTTTTAATAGAAAACCAAAACAAAAAATGGTCAAAATAATGAACTAGGGGCATAGTTGAGTCAGGTTTTCTGTCTTTTCCCCCTTTATCAACGCACTTACCAGAAATGGTATCATACTTGCCAAAAAGGGCACAACCGAAGCTGTCATTAAAGGATTGAATGCTCTCTCAACCTCCGAGTAACGAGGTATCGCGCCAAGTGCAAAGCGCGGACCGGAATGGATCAAGATACTCCACTCCCTTATCAGGAACATTGACTAAACGGCACCGAAGAAAATAGTTGCGAACTAACAGTGTTGGGTATGAACCCACAACCTCTTGTTTATTGACCGAGCATACCTGGGGAGTGATGAAGAATGAGAGATTGAAGAACAGAGGGATGTGCGATGAGAGAAAAAGTAAGAAAAGGGTTTTGAGAGAAAAAAAACGAGCCCGAGGGCTGAGTGATGTGAGAATCACAAATAAGAAGGGTGGGAAACAATACTCGAAAAACTGGCTCCTCGTGATCTGAGGTCTCTCATCTTTGTAACACGTCTGTGTCTCGTGTCTTTTATTTTGTTTACCTCAACTCTTGTTTTGAGTCGGTTCCGGGCGTGTCTCGTTGTGTTTAGGTTGTTTACCTTTTGTTTTTCGTTATTGAGTCTTTTTCACTATGTTCAGTCGTAGGCTCAATACCCGGTTGAAAACCCTTTTCTCAAATCGTTTTGTGCTTAGAGTGCTGTGTCATTCTCCACATTTCTGCAAAACAGGTTTCGTTCTTTTGTAACACCGCAGGGGTTCAACCGGGGTCACTTGGAAGTAGTGAACATATGGGTTCCGGATTGCATCTGAGTGTGTTTCAGCTTCAGCAGCTTCCACCTTTGTATTCCGTCTTTTCAGATTGGACTGTTTGTTCAGGATCTGCCGTGTGCAAATGAACAGAATACTGTGTTATGATGGGCTATGAGTTCAGAATGAGCAGTGTTCAGAACAAGCAGTGCGTTGTATGAGCTGTGTGGATCCGCTGTGTGCAGAATAAACCAAGCACTATGTTAAGGGCTGTATGTTCAGAATGAGCAGTGGGTTGTACAAGTTGTTTTATGGATAGCTGGTTCGTTACCTGGTTATTGCAGTACAAGTGTTTGATTTTCAGACAAGAGATCAATCTCATTTACATGGAGGTGTAATATGATGCAATGCAATGCGAAGTATGAAATTTTCAAATGTAACACTTTTTCAGACAAAAAGTTTGTTTCATTTCATCATCTTTTCAAGGACACAGTTTTGGAGAAAATAAAAAAAAAACCTGCCCACGGCAGTACAAGGTACTCAAGCTATCAATAAAATGTAAAGCAAAACAAAAAAAGAAAAGTAGTAAAAATCTGGATCAGCGTCAAATGGTCTCAAGCCTGAGGGTCTGTCCTCCTCCTCTTCCTGGACGATAGTCCAGGAGCATCGTCATCAGCACCATCATCTGAGCCCGAGCCATCGCCAGTCTCCTCCTCGGACAACTCTGCCTCCGCCTCCTCCTCGGACTCATCATCATCATCTGGGACTAGTGCTCGAGAGCTGCTTCCAACATGAGTGCGCCCCGCTTTGGGGCGGGGCTGTACTGAGCCACCTCACCCTCCTCCGTGGGTAGGAACGGGAAGGCCCAGCTGGAGCACCTCTTGCAGCCAACATCTAGAATGGAGGCTGAAAAGCACAAATGGCAAACGCATTAGTATGCTACGCAAAACAGTGTATCAGTACAGAATGCAGTGTATGAGTACAGTGTATGAATACTGTGAGCAGTGTATCAGTACAGAATGCAGTGTATGAGTACAGTGTATGAATGCTGTGAACAGTGTGTCAGTATAAAATGTAGTGACTGAGTGCAGTGTATGAATGCCATGAGTAATGCTGTGAACAGTCTGTGGGCTACAGTGTATCAGATGCCGTGAGGGCCGTGTATCAAGTGCCATGTTGGTAGCGCGATGCATCAGATTATGCGTGAAACAGATTATGCACAGTTTGAGATTGTGGTTGAAAAAGAGCTTACTGGGATACCGTAAATGGCCAGCAGGTCGAAGCTCTGCTGTAGCATCCCCATCATGGAGGAGTTCAACTCCAGGGGCTGGCGAGTATACTCGGAGGACGCCTGAAAAAGTGTGCATCAGTATTCTGCGGAATATCAAACGGAATGAAATGAAATGACTGTACAAAATGCAGTAGTACATACCAGAGGCAAATCGTATAAATCGACTAGATCATGATCAGTCGGAGGAGGAGCAAAGGGGATCTGATACATCTCCCCACTCTGCCCTCTGCATGTCATCGTCGTGGGCAGTGCTGGCCAACTAGCCCCCTGTCCTCTCCGAGCCCCACTCTTGCCACAGACCCGAGCCACCCTCGGCGCTCCTGCTCCTGCTCCTGCCCTAGCCGCCGGCGCCCTTGGTCTCTCTCTCTCTCAGCTCGACGGCCACTTCTCAAAGGCCGGATGATGTAGGTCTGGACGTACTCTGTGTAGTCGCCCTTGCCCCTGAAGCCCTTAGCATCCCAGCCGATCGTGTAATCGGCCATCTCCTCCAGGGTGTACCTCTCTGTGTCCCTCATATGGACAGGGGGCAGACCTGGAACTATCTGCTCTGGTAAACCCAAGGTCTGGCGCAGGAAGCGCTCGCCCAGGTACCAAGCCCGACAGACCGGGTCCTCCAGCGAAATCCTGAACCGGGCAGTCTCCTCAGCACCGGTAAACCGCTCCCGAACCGCAGCTGGCAATGGAGCCCAGGGCTGCCAGGTGATCTGAAAGTGATATGCTGTCAATTATCTATTGTTATTGAAAATACAATGCAAAGCGAAGCTTGAAATAAACTCTAAAGTTGAACATACCTCTGCGACGGTGATGGTGTCGAAGTAGCGGTGAAAGAATATGAACGACTCCCGGGGTCTCTGCACGCATCTCACATCAAAGCGGTGGGAGAAAGAAATGCCGAAAGGGGTCTCCTCGTCAGGTATTGGGGCAAGCCTCGAGAAGTAGGCGCAGACCCACAACTGCAGAGCAAATACCAGTGTGCTTATCAGATAAAGCAGAATGCAGAATAAAAGCAGAAATGGAAAAACCGTGTATTGTGCAGTGTATTGTGCAGAGTGTACAGTGTGCGTAGTATACAGTCAGTGTAAAGCATTGCATGTTTGCAATGTGTGCAGTGTACAGTTAGTTGGCAACAGATTATGCAGTATGTGAAGTATTGTGCAGTATACAGTCAGTGTAAAGTAGATTATATATGTTTCGTGTGTGTAGTATATGAAGTGTGATGCGCAGTGTGTGTGGTGTACAGAGTACAGATAATGTAGAGCAGAAATGTAAAACAGAGAAAGAAGATGTACCTCCCAAGCCCGCCAGTAGCCTTTGAACAACTGTCTGTTGAGGCGAGAGGATGAACTCATGTATCCATAGAGTGTGGCCAAGGCTGCCCCACCCCAGTCGTAGCGCAGGATCTGTGTGACGTTCACCAAAGCGCTCAGCAGACAGAGAGGCACGGTGTTCGACCGGTCGGCGAAGAGGGTTGTCCCCAGCAAGAACATGAGGAAGCCGCGTGCATACCGCTCCGCCTCTTCCTGAGCCATCGATGCCTCCTCAGCTAAAGCTGGCTAAATCTGGAAGTGGTCCTCGAACCACGAGTATCTGACGAAGCCTGGATGAGCAAGAGGTGGTAGGGCGCCAGGAAAGTACATCTGAGCGGCCTCCCACTCGTCCATGTCTATGTCAAATGGGATCGGATCACCCCCTACCCCGATGCCGGTGAGCATCGAGAAGTCATAGGGAGTCATCGTCATGTCCCCCTTGGCAGAGAAGTGAAAGGAGTCAGTGGTGTCCCACCACCTCGCCACCAAAGCGGGAAGAAGAGGCCTGCTCGTGGTGAGGCGTGAGAGTCCCCTTCAGAATGCGCCGAAGCCGGCCTGGTCGACAATGTGGCGGACTGCATCCGGAAGCTCCATGTACCAATCTCGGACGGCGACGTTCCCATACCCCCGGAAGGCATGGGAATTCCCCTGTATTCAAAAGCAAACAATTACGAAGCAATATTCAATGTACAGTTTTGAAGTGCATTCGAAATTGGTAGCAACGCAGCGTGTGTGCACGTGTTCAGATTCAAACAGACATCGGGTGTCATTGTGTTCACAGTCAACTACAGCATATAGTATATCGGTGTATCCGAATCAAACAGTTAAAGGCAGAATCGACTATGACAGTTAAGTATTCTACTTTGCAGAAAATGAAACAGGGAGGAGTATACCTCGGAAGCGCCGTATGAAAGGTGCGTCTCTGGCTCGCGCAGAAGTAGCTCTGATGGCACCCTCCTGTCAAAACTCCTGAACTTGCGAAGTCTGTTAGGAGGCAGCACATGAATTGCTGGTCTGTACACCGCCGGATCAAACGGCCGGATGTGAAGCGGCAAGAGCTTAGCCTCTGGGTCCATATCCATGTCCGGGGGAGCCCCACCGCCTGGAAGATCGTCTGCCATCTCAGAGAGAGTGTGAAAGTGGCCGGGAATGTGAAAATCGGGCGAAAATATGAAAAGTCAACTAAAAAGTCAACCCCGAGAGGGCAAAAAATGACTGAAAAGGTTGGGGTGCAAAAAAGGCACAGAGATCGAGAAAAATTGGAGGGAAACAAGCCCCAAGTGGTGAAAATCGAGAAAAAGGGACCGAAACGAAGATTCGTTCGGTTCAAAACGTGCGAAACGATGAGGTGTTCGCGAATTGAACGTCGAAATGGGCTCTAAAACCAAGGAAAATGGAGAATAGAAGGAAGAAAAATGACCTAGAGGAAGAGGAGAAGAGATTTTGAGCAAGGAGGAAGTGAAGAAATAGGGCTAGAGGCCCTATTTTAAAAGACCTGTGCCGAAATGTCCAAACTGCCCCGATTCAGGTAGATTTGGCCGGTCGGCCAAATATTTGGCCGATGGATTTGTTTTGAGGCCAATGAATGGCCGGTGACCTCCCCCGGTGGAAAGTGAACCTCCTACACCTTTGATTGGGTCTTTGATGTGGTTTGGGGCCTCCATTGCTCAACACAGTGCAGGAGAGTGCATTTCTGAAGCTCAACCGGACTCCGTTTTGACTCCGGACCGTGTTTTCTGTGCATAGCACTCGAATACGTGCGCGGCGTATCCTTTTTGTATCCTTTTGTCTCCTGAGAGATTCGAAAGTTGCCCCACGTGCATACACTACAACGCTTTGTCGTAAACGCGCGTTGAGTTATACGTCATTCCACTCGCATTGTCATGTGCATGCCATACTTGCATTAGTATGCATCTTTTTTATGTTGCATTGTCATGCGCACTTCACATGCATTGTCATGCATTTCGAGCGACTCGTGTCGTCACACATTCAAGTTCACATGCATTGTCATGCATTTCAAGAGACGTACATTGTCGAGCATTCAAGGTCATGTGCATTGTCATGCCTTTCAAAAGACACCCGTCGTCGTGCATTCAAAAAATAAATACATGCATCATCATGCACTTTTCATGCATTTTCAAAAAAAAAAAAAACTTTGCATTATCATGCATTCATTGTATATAGTGCATATGTCATGCATTTCACTGTAAATAGTGCATATGTCATGCATTACAAATAGTGCATATGTCATGCATGTCACTGTAAATATTGCATTTACATACATTCCATTGCATATATTGTATATATTGTATTGTAGATTACATGCATTCATTGCATCACCCCCGCCCATGGCTTGCGCCTTTCCAAGTTGAGCTTGGTTTGGTATGTGCCTGTACTCTTCGCGTTGAAGCACGGTTATGATATTATGTGTACGCACCTAGTGTTGTGGGTGACGGCACCATTTCCAAGTTAAACGTGGTTTGCATGTGTACATGCCTTTCCTAGGCAAAACAAGGATTGGCCGCAGGCCTTATCCATTGTAAATATTACATTTACATCCATTGCATATTGTATATATTGCATTGTAGCTTGCATGCATTCCCTGCATCACCCTCGCCTATGGCTTGCGCCTTTCCAGGTTGAGCTTGGCCTGGTATGTGCCCATATTTTTCACGTCGAAGCACAGTTATGATATTATGTGTACGCACCTACTCCACTGCTGGTATTGTGGTTTGAGGGTGACGGCACCGTTTCTGTGTTAGACGCGGTTTGTATGTGTCCATGCCTTTCCTAGGCAAGACACGGTTTGTCCACAGGCCTTTTCCACTGCATCCGTTGCATTCTTCCCAATAGGTTGCATTGTACATAGCATTCATTGTATATAATGCATCGTACATAGTATCCATCCATTGCATATTGTATATATTGTATTGTAGATTGCATGCATTCATTGCATCACCCCCGCCCATGGCTTGCGCCTTTCCTTGTTGAGCTTGGATTGGTATGTGCCCGTACTTTTCACGTTGAAGCACGATTATGATATTATGTGTTCGCACATAATGTTGAGGGTGACGGCACCGTTTCCGTGTTAAACGTGGTTTGTATGTGTCCATGCCTTTCCTAGGCAAGACACGGATTAGCCGCAGGCCTTATCCACTGCATCCATTGCATTTTAGCTTGTAAATATTGCATTGTGCATAGCTTGCATTGTCATGCATCTTTCCTTACATGCATTGTAATGCATTCTTCCTTACTTTGCATATGTCATGAATTCATTGTAAATAGTGCATATGTCATGCATTTATTGTATATAGCTTGCATTGCCATGCATGCATTGTATTGCACATAGTTTAGTATTGCATGCATCATCCATCTATGGCTTATGCCTTTCCATGTTGAGCTTGGTCTGGTATGTGCCCATATTTTTCACGTCGAAGCACAGTTATGATATTATGTGTACGCGCCTATTCAACTGCTGGTATTGTGGTTTGAGGGTGACGGCACCGTTTCTGTGTTAGACGTGGTTTGTATGTGTCCATGCCTTTCCTAGGCAAGATACGGTTTGGCCGTAGGCCTTATCCATTGTATATATTACATTGTAGTGTAATTTGTTACGTCCAGCATTTAGGATCGCGGTCTTTCCTCAGCGGGTCATTTCCCCACTTACGTCATTCCACCCAATTACTTGTTCTTGTGTCCATCAACATTACTCATAGTTCTGCATGTGTACGTGCCTATTCCACTGCTGGTATTGTGGTTTGAGGGTTGCAGCACCTTTCCTATGGTAGACGGACTTTGTATCTCCATCATCCTTATGACATTTGTGTGGTTTTGAACCGCTTATGGTTTGATTATGTTTCAAACGCATTGCATATCATTTGCATTGTTTTTACATTGTTTTGTAATTTTGCATATCATTTGCATATCATCGCACTGTTTTGTGCACCTTGCTCACATTTCACATGCATTTCAATTGCGCTATTTTGCGCATCGCACTATCTTGCGCACCTCATTCGCACTTGTTAATGCATTGCGTTGTCACGTAGCTTTCGATTGCATTGTTGTGCATGTTACTAACAATATTGTACCTGTTAAGTTTCTCTCTTTTACAGGCGCGATATTGTATGTACGATTCATTTGAAGCTGGTGCAACCAGACGAACCGGACAGGTATTGTATTCTCCGCGTGAAACGTAGCGAGAATTACATTATTCTCTTACATCCTTTCTGCATTGTCGTGTAGTTGGATTTATGTTAGATTGCTTAAAACTGTTGCATGTTATGCTTCGTTACAGCTTTCTTTGCATGATCATGAGTTATGTTCGGCTTCTTGCATTGTCAGTTTCATTTTGCCCCTGCCTTCGGGCGCATATCTTTGCTTGTAGCTTGTATGCTTTGTCTAAGTCTTCAGCCTTGTCAAAAATGGGTCGTCTCGGGGCTTTGTCATTCACTTCCGTCATTGTTATGACTTTCGAGTTCAGTCAAAGAGGGGCAACTGTAGACACCCCATTTTTTACTATCCTCAAGACTTGGGCGTCACCATTTGAATACTCGGTGATGATCCATGTTTGTGTTCGTCTTGAGTTCTCAGAGGTCTCGGCCATGCACCTTGCCTCAGGATTGCTCGACTCGACTGTTTTGTGCTTGGTTTTGCACCAAACACTTGTGTTTTTGCTTTGGAGGATAGGGAATGCTTATTGGCCACCCCCACACCTCACCTGCCATGGCTTGAGGCCACCGGCCATTGTTTTGTTGCCATTGGCCATATATTTGGCCAGTTGGCACTATTGATGGTCGGTCGACCATTGTTTTTGCCAATTTGCCATTTTTGGCTGGCCGATCACCGTGCTTCTGCTTTTGCAGATATTTATATGCCAGCTGTGCAAGCTGGCATACACTTTACACCCCCTCCATACACGTGTATGGAGGGATTTCACTCTTACTTAACTTGTCTTGTAAGCTTTGCAAGAGTGATCCTCTATAAGAGGAGGGCTTCTCCTCCCTCCTCAGAGGTTAGAGGGTTGAGTTCCAGAGGTCTGGATTAGGGTTAGCGATAGTATATCTATTCTATCTCTATATCTCCCTCTCTTTGTGTATAAGTGTGTGTTTGTCCTTACTTTTGTGCACAAACACCTAGTTTTACACCTTACCTTGGTTACTGAGGAGCCATTAGGTTGTTCTTGAAGTTTTGAGCTGGTTTTGAGCTAAGGAAAGCAGGTGGAGTGCTGTTCTTGAAGGGGTCTACAAGGGTAAGAACTTTACCTTTAAATACCCCATTTTTGTATAGTCTTTTTGCTTACCTTGCATCTGTTTTTGAGCTTAGTGTATAACATATAAATGTCATGTTTTTACTTGCTTAAAATAGTTGTTTAAGGTAGCTTTGAGCTTTGGGGTTGTTTGGCCCCTCTTAGGCCTTATTTGGCCCCCATTTTGTGCTATTTTGGTGAGCTCTGGGACCATCTTGTTTGGGCCTCCTCACCACTATGGATATGGTGCTTTAAGGTCCTAAGAAGGAGAGGGCCATCCCCTCTCCTTGTTGCCTTCAAAAATGGCCATTTTAGCCTCATGTGTGAGCATCTTGTTTAAGTGCATGTTGGTCATGTCTTAAGTGTTATTTGCGCTTATTTTGCCATGATTTAGCACTGTTTTTAATTGGTTTAGACACACCATGCTTACCTTGCATACTTGTCTTGTAATGTCATGAATTGCCTTAACATGTGCCTAGCATTTAGACCACTATGCTTACTTGTTTTGGCTTAGCTTTGTGAACCTTATATGCATGTTTTAGTATGCTTAAGGTCTGTTTTTGGTTGCTTGGGTCATCCATGCTTTGCTTTGTATAGCTACCATGTAATCCCCCTTTTGAGCCTTGAGTGTTGACCCCTCTAGCATGCTTTACTTGCTTTGTTTCAGTAGTTTGGAACCACTTACCATGTCATTTCAGTCCTCATGGTATGCTTGTATCCTTGCATTCGATGCCCCTTTAATGCTTTGAAAGGCTTGTGTCTTATGCTCCATGTTTGGACCTTTGTGCATGCTTCCATGTTTAGACCATTTAGATACCATCTAGATGCGTCTTTGGTCTTGTTTAGACCTGCATTGGACCTGTTTTAGGCCCTCAT